CCCAGGCAGGCAGTTTGGAAGTTGCATTTTTCAAGAGAATAATGATTCCACCAACAGACATGGACATGATTTACTTAGATTAGAACCTGTGAATGCTACTTGATTATTTTGAGCTCTTCTGCTGTGTTACTTTCCTGGCTGTGGTGTTTTATCTAAAATACCAAGGATAAACTGGGCTGCTGACACATGATAAAATGTAGGCAAAATTATGTCTCCCTATGCAGTAGATTATTACTTAACACTCTGATGTCCAATAGTAAAGTTCAGTGGAAAGCTGTGACAAATCAATCAGAAGGTATATGTTATCACATTGATTTGGAATGGATGAAGATTTGGATCATCTTGTCAGATAGGGAACCCTGACCAGAGGAGATGCTGCCATAGGATAAGAGGCACATGGAATATATATGAACAAAATAGGTAAAAGTATTAAATCCAGGCTCCTGAGCATCTCTGAGTCCTGAGAATGTTAAGAATTGTGCAGAGTACTCTGGGCTATGGAACATAGTTTCTTCTTCATTAGGGATGAGAGTTTCCTCATCTGAACAGTTTTATGAATGACTGGTAAGGAAATGTCCATTCTAAGACTTTTCTTCTTTTTAAGTATATGCCAAAGTTATACTACCTAGTGAAGTTGTTATCCCCCCAGGAATTTTTGGCATCTGGCTTCTAATACTATTCAGGAAAATAAAATAAAATCTGCCGATAATCAGAGAAGGGCAGGGGGAATCATGTGAGCAGTGGATACTGGGCACAAGCCTCCTGTGCAATGGCGGCCTATATCAGAAACCAAATGGAAGACTGAACTGGGTAGAGATCAGCACTATTGATGACCAGCCCTCTTCTCATTGGTTCTTAACTATTCACTGCATTCTAATTGCAGAAAATAAACTGGGCATAGAGCAAAAATAAAGTTATTCTCAAAAAATAATAAAAGTGTAAAAGTCAAAATACATCCATATGAATCACCCTTTAAAAATGTCAACTTATAATAAATGCAATGTTAGCCTTCACAAAAATATTGTAGAATTTATTTGGATTTTCAGTAATGAACATATTCAAGAATACTTATATGCTTTCATGATACAATTATTTTAAAATTGGAAATAATTTTAATATTTCATATTAAAATTAATAAGTATTTCAAAACTGTCAGTAGGCCAGTGGATATCATTTATCTCCTTAATTATATATCAAAAACTGAAGTTAAATCTTTAGTTAGACATGTCATTGAGTTTATAAAGGGTAAAGTTCAATCTTAATCTATTTGTTAAATGAGTGCAAAGCTGATTCAAATATGAACATTTGACTTTAGTTTTTTGCATTGATAAAGATTTACTATAACATTTTTGGTCAAGGAGATATACTAATATCTTCTTGATATAACAATTAATTGAAGAATTTATATTTGTAGATGATAGAATAAAACAGAATATAAAGATCACACATTCCCAGTAAATGTTTGTTCTTCTGACAAAACTAAACCTTTGATTATAGTGATTATAGATTATGAGCATTAGTGATTTTTAAATATGATAAATTGACATTTCACTCTTTATTAATTGTACTATTAATTAAAAATTTTATAAAATTACTAAATTATCTATATATAGTATTATTATTTCCTCTGAAAGTGATCTGCTTACCTTTAACATATTGCTACATTCTATCCTTGAGAAAAGATGACTAATTGATCTCTTTTGTTTGCAGGTCTTTGCACTAGAAGGTTCCCAATACACTTATTGACTAAAGGTGGAATATGAGCCATGATTATGCACGTGTTCAGTGGAAATTTGTAGACCTATCCTAGTGTGATTTGCCATCCCAGTTATTATCATTTCATGCTCTGACTCCAGTAACATTGGGAAAGCAGAAAAAAAATCAATACTATTCTTATAACATACTAATCTTCTATGATGTTTCTCTGGTTTGTAGGTTCTAGCTGAATTTGTGAATTTTACTCTTCCATGTTCCCTACATCCATCAAACTTAGCTCTTATTTTGTGTGTTCCCCAGGATTTAGCATATTGTTAGTCAGCATACCTCTTAGGGTTAAAAAATAATGATCATATTGTGTATAGAATCTACATAAAACTATTAGTGTCCTTGTGTCAGGAAAGTGAGAGGAAGAGGGTAAAGTCATCTGGCAAAAGACAAAGGAAGAAAAGGACATGCTCACTAGTTGATGGTATTGTCAAATTCTGGGCTTTATCTGTAGGCTAAGAGAGAGAAATTGGAATTTTGAAAACATGATGAAGATGATGTTTTCATGAAGATCATTGTGGCTAAACAGAACAGGATTGCCCACTCAGACCTGTACCACCCTGAGAATGATCTATTCCCTCTTTTTCTTGTTTCCTGTTCTACCAAATTTTTGACAAGAAAATAAGCAACATTTTGTGACCAAAAATATAGCAGTTGCCACACAGGCCAGCAGGAACCCAATGACATCCAAAGAGTGGTACTGGACCCAGGTGAGGTTGTGAGCAGCTGGCCGCAGGTGTTTGGCTCCTTTGTGGCGCATGACAAACTCGATCCAGAAGACTGCTCGATCCAAGGGCTTTACAGGTTGATCGTGGTGAATGCTTGATAACCTCATAGCGTTCTCTTTATAGCTGGTAGACAAAGACAGACAGAAATTAGAGCTTTGTTTTCATTGAAGTTGTAAGTATATGATACCTTTGCCTAACATGTCATCCATAGATGTGTTGAGGAAACATTTAATTCTAGTTGTGACACGAACTTTGCTGATGGAATGGTATTTTAAGAGTTGTAAAGGGGAGGGTATGGAAGAAATAAATATTTGACACAATGTAAATAGTTTTATATTTGATCAAATGTCCTATTTGATCAAATATTACCTAAAGAGGTAATATGCAAATTCACCATTACACCTCCACAAAGATGGCTGCCTATGACCAGGCTGGCAGGGGGGTTAGCAAGGAATGACCAAATGACTGAAGAACATGCTGCATGGGGTGACCAGGCCGGCACAGGGGTTAGTGAGGGATGACCAAATGACTGAACAAGCAGGCTGCGCAGGCCTCAGCCAGCCGGTCGTTATCTCCCGAGGGGTCCCAGACTGCGAGAGGGCACAGGCCGGGCTGAGGGACCCCCCCGCTCCCCCGAGTGCACAAGTTTTTGTGCACCGGGCCTCTAGTAATATATGAAGAAGCAGATATATTTATAAAAATAAGCAGATGAGCCTTGTCTGGTGTGGTTCAGTTGGCTGGGTCCTGTCCTGTGTACCTAAAGGTTGCTGATTCATTTCCTCATCAGGTGCCTCAAAATATCTGAGAATTTTTGTTATCATTAACATTATTGTGAAAAAAACATGTTGATAGATACTTGAAATGAGGATTTTTGCAATTTTAGCAATCACTTCATCAATTTGGGGAATAAAATAATAAAATGGTGTTTATATTAGTCATCTTATGGTTATTATTTAAAAGTATACCAATTACAAATACATGGTACATTGGACATTCTTGAATATGATGGGTAATGTAACCAATGGTAAAACTTTCAAGGCTATAGTACTTACGAAGGTTCATTAATGACTGTTTTCAAGGCATCATGCAAATCTGCACTTGTCATTGTGTTTATGTTCACCTCCACAGCCGCTCCTTTGGCCTTCATGTGAGCAATGTTATCATGCTGATCAGCAAACATGGGAACTCCCACCATAGGGACACCATGATAGATACCTTCATAGATCCCATTTGTTCCACCATGAGTGATAAAAGCTTTTGCTTTGGGATGACCTGTTTGAGGGTTGGGTGAGAAGCAAATGAGGATTTCATTATATGTTAGAAGAATTTCAGAGAGAGATGGAGAAAAACTCAGGATAAAGCAATGAAGAAGGCAGTATTCTCTATAGAAGCTGAACGCAGTGTTTATTGCTATCTCAGAAAACTGTGATCTCAGGAAATGGCAAATTCACCCCTTCTGCGTTGTCTGGAAAGACTACAATAAGGTGATATCTGAACTGTGGTTGAAATTTGAGAACTCAGGAGAGTCTTAACTGAAGGCTCTGTTTTGTGAACCAGAGTAAGCAGGAATCTCTCAAAGGCCAATTGTTTTGTTATATGTGAAATTTTAAAAGTATTAAATGTTGATTGAACTTAGCTGCTCTCAGTTACTTAACTTGTTCATCATCCAACTGTACAGCGTTTCCCCCTCAATCTTACCAAGAAGATCATTCTGTGGTATCCAATCATAGAGCCGAGTGTTGGCTCCTAATGTGGCTGGCTTCGTTCCTTTGTACCTCCATAAGACCTGTGCAAGAAAGTGCATTAATTTTATAAGTAAGAATGCACACTTAAGGAATTTTAGGGCTGTAGAGTTAATTAAAAATCATGTAGTCCATTTTATGTGATATATAAGAGGTACAAAAGGGGTAGTTCGCAAATATTGATTGTATTTCCTTGAAAATCACTTTGCAAAAAGATGTACTTTATTTCCATAGTATTACAAAGGCTCAGTAGGCAAATCATCAAATGGGCCCAAATACAACATTTTAATGTTTTGTGAAATTTGTACTTAAAGATTGTTTCAGTTATGCTCAATCTATAATGAGTTTCAACTTTCATCTGGAAAGAATACTATTGGTTTGCTATACTTTCTCTCCAATTGGCAAGGTGGCTGCTATCTAGGATCATAGGTTGTACTGACCTTCTGTGGAATCTGAGCGAGGGCTGAGGCAATGAGATTGGCTTTTTCTTCTGTGAGGTTTTTGACCATTGACCCCAGAGAGAACACTACAACTCCATGTTCACCTGAACTTTGGACAAATTCTTCCATTTCCTGTAAAGATAAAGTTCTATCTATCATGAAAGTACAGGACCACAGGGGAAAAAATCACTTACATCCTATATATATAAAAGCACAGTATGCAAATTGTCCCCTCTACTGGGAGTTGTCTGGGAGTTTGACCAGGGGGTTGGGCTGGCCAGGGGAAGGGAGGGAGGCCCTGGTCGGCGATGGAAGCTGTGGCGCCAGGTGGCAGGGGAAGGGAGGGAGAACCCAGCCAACAGCCAGCAGCTGCTAGGGACCCTACCAGTGCATGAATTTTGTGCACTGAGCCTCTAGTTTCTAAATAGGCAGGGTCAAGGACAGCATCAGAGAAATTGATAGACTGATTAGGTATTGTACCACATAGAACCATCTAGTCTCTTTAAGAGAAAAACTGTTTCTGAAAACTATGACTTAAATATACAATGAGTGATTACAACTAAAGGCATGGAATCAAACCATTACCCTATATAATAAAAGGCTAATATTCAAATGAACCAAATGGTTGAACGGAATGACCGAACAACCTAACAACCAGTCGCTATGACGTGATCTGACCACCAGGGGGCGCACGAAACATATCGGGCATCAGAAGCAGGTGGCAGAGCACAGAACATGGTGGGTGTCAGCCACAGTGGGATGGTGGAGCGGGTGAGCTGGGATGCTGGTCGCTGTCTTTGGGGCAATCCTCTGGTGGTTACTGAAAATTCTCGCTCCACACAATCAGCAAGTGGGAATGGGGCTGGCACTGTCATCCCATGAGTGCTATTGCAAGAGTGGGGTTGCTGGCAGACAGGGGACTAGGGGCCTAAGAAGGAGGGGCAAGGTGAGGCCTCAGAGGATGGGACGAGACCCGCCCCATCTCACTACAGCCTCATGACCCACAGTCCCTTTCAAGGTGCAATTCATGCACTGGGCCCCTAGTACCAAATAAATAGATAATAAGAGGCAAATCTTCCCATGGTATGTGAAACTGTTACTCCCAAAGCTTAACCCCTAGAGTGCCGTGGAGTGCAATCACACTCCTCCTGTCTTTCGCCAAAAGTGCCTGGAGCATTATCAAAGCTTTGAAATGGCATCCAGTTCTAAGTCTGCTATTATTAGTGATGATGATATTGCTAAATATGTCAATGTAGTAAAGGTTTCCTTAAGATTTTGAATATGTAATTTCATTTACTTGCGATTCATAATTTTTTTCCTAAACTGCTGTAAAATCACCAAAAATGCCTTGGCAATTTTAGCATAGTTCCTAGGATATTGGTTGGCACTCAGAGGGTTAATTTTATGACCAATAGAGTTGTTTGCAAGCTCATAAAAATATTCCTTGGACTAAAGCCCCCCAAAAGGGGTTTAGAACTAAGCTTTAAAATTTTTAAACATGCCAGTTTACAAGCAATAAATTATTAATTACTTGATCTAACTTTCTGTTAGGAGTTTAGGGTATTTGTCTGATATTTATTCTTTCCCTGATTTATAGGGCTAAATAGAGTTTTTTAAAAAGGGATATATAATAATTTGTTTAAAAGGTTACAACACAGTCAAACACCTGCTATAATCATGATAAATTTATGAAACAGTGATTCACTCTCTTTCCACAAGAATATGACACTAACTGCATGCCATTAATTTGAGCCTTAGTACAGAAGTAAAACATACATTTCTCTGCAAAATAAAATTCGCTGCTTACACTGCTCAGGTTGAACACTGCAGCCTTGGATTGGGGTTTTGCACATCGTAATCTATGTGAATGTCAGTCTCTAGAGATGATCATGCATTCTCTTTGTAATTATTGGTGGTTGTCCTGTGATCACTGATATATCTCAATATAAGGCTAGTAAAATTACCAGGGGAAAGATAATGCCCCAAAAGTAGACTGCTATTTTTAGCTTAGTTAAACTTAGGAGAATATCTCTGAAGTCATAGAAATTGGTGTTTTACCATTTTGATTCATCTTCTTAAGCATATGATTGAATGAAAAGTATATACAGCGCGCGCGTGCTCGCGCGCACCCTTCCCTTCTCCCCCCACGCACACACTAAGACTTACATAGCTACCTATCTGATTTGGATTCTTGAATTTACTGTCTCTCATTGCTTTTTTATTCAGTGACTGGTTGAATCCCCTTTTCAGAGATATAAGGCATGATTGGTATTCATTGGCTCAAATATCTATATTAATAATTGGGTTTGAAATGGAAAAATTTTTCCCTCTTGTTAAACATATCTGAGTTGGTTTTATGAAATTGTAATAAACAAAATAGTGTGTCAAAGTGTTATGTAGTAAGCCACAGAATGTTTCATGTCTCTTACTCTACCTTTATTTAGATATTGGTTAACTCTCTCCTGTAATAACACTCAATAGTTTTCCGGAAGTTGTAACTGGTTGGTAAGAAAACCATATTCACAATCCTGAAAAGATATTTCAA